GCGCTAGAAATGAGAGATAGGAGAGGACAGTTGAATAGGCGGTGGGCGAGGCTCCCAGTCGGGGAGAGGCGCCTGTACGATTCTAGATGGTAACAAAAGAAAAGAGCATGGGCGTACGTGGCCGTGTTCAGCAGGGTCCCCGGCAGGCAGGAGGGAAAGAAAAGGTCCTGTGGGAGCCACAGTTCGCCCCAGGCTGGCAGAGAAAGAAAATCAATGAGCTCCCAGCCCCGTGCGCCCACCAGCCCGCAGGCCCAGGGGTCCCGCCAGCCTCACCTCTGCTGGGCCTCCAGGGCCTCCTTCTTGCTCCGGGCCTGGTCCCCAGGGGGTGGGGAATTGGCATTTCTCACCGGCGGTGACGTCACATCTGCCATGGACTCCTTGGCTCCTGGCTCCTGGTCGGAGGACCCTCTCTCTGTTTTCCTCCATTTCGCCCTTCGGTTCTGGAACCAAACCTAAATCCCCGATGGAAAAGCACACTCAGCGGAGGCAGAAGGTCAGACAGGAGCCCAGCGCCTGGCCGCCGTGCCCAGCACTCCGGGCCCACCTGCGGCAGCAGGCGTGCGAGGCGCACTCCCCTCGCCTCAAGATCATCGGCCAAAGCAGCGCCCCTGAACTGCAGCCGCAGACCTACAACGGTCAGAAGGTCAGTGCAGAGGGCATGACGAGCATCCCTTAAAGAGTGTGAAATCACAGAAAGTATCCAAATGCTTTGCCCAGCGTAAAGGTGAGGTGTTGTTTTGTGGAAATTCCGAATGTATGTGAGTATGTACATTTATTTGACGTGAAATTATTTCCTGGAGGGGTGGGTTCTCGGGTGGATTCTCATGAAGCCATTTATAAAGCACGGCCTGGGGTTTTCTCGTCAAATACACCCACTCGCACTCCAGCAGGTTGCCCTGAGCGCCTGCGTGTCTGGCCTCACACGTGTGATGATCCCTGAAATCGCCTCTTGCACATCATGACAAGTGCACCCACTGGCCACGCTGACTCTGAGTCCCTTCTGGTTTGGAACTCTGAGCCCGGCATCTTGTCCAGAGTCCACCGCAGTCTATGAGGGAGGCAGTCCCACCGCCTCCACCTCACAGATGAGAACGCGAAGCACAGAGGTCCGCTAGCTTGCTCAAGGTCATCCAGGGGGTAAGCGGCAGATCCGCAACTCGAAACCCAGTGGCGTGGCCAGGGGCCACGATCCAGATCGGGGTAATAATAGTGGCCACCCCAGCGTTACAGGAGACAACAGATGCACAAAACACTGGGCTCGGTACCTGGCGCAGAGCGACCCAGCACTGGGTCAGCATTAGCTGGTGTTACCATCTCTGCCGTCCTCAGGCTGGGAGGCAGCGAATAATGATTCGCCTGCTCTAAGGACCTCCTTGGAGGCGGGTGTGGAATCCTTGAAGCCTTGGAAACCGAGGCTGCATGTGCAGGAGCGCCTCATGGCAGCGGGCAGCCCCGGCCAACGTGTTCCCAGAGGTCAGTGAAACCCTGCTGCTCTTTCCTCCTTCCTGCAAACCCTCTGTCCCTTCTCCTAGGAGACAATTCCTGGCTTCAAAAACAAGGCTTGGTAGACCTCCCTCCTATTCCCAGGGCGTCCTCTCCCCCTGCCGGCAGCCTGGCCCTGGGTCCCGAGGCTGCGCCCTGCCAGCCCACTCCGCCTCCGAATTTCATCCTCCTTTATCGGTCTTGCTTTCTCTCTTTTTAAATCTAGTTGGCTTTTAATTGCACATATCAGCAACCGTTGAATAATGATTTTATCTATATTCTAAATTTAGGGCAGTTAAATGCAAAGCAAAATGCAGACACTTTCTTGGGTCTTAATTGAATGAAGGTCACAGCTATGACAACATTTAATTGAGCTATTTTTCATTATCATATTTTAATGACTTTGCACTGACAGTTCGCCTGCTTCTGAGGAAAGAGCATGATGGAGTCGTTTATTTCCCTATTTAGTTATTGTTTGACAACATCAGCTTCGATTAAGACCCTGCTTTATAGAACATTAATCATATTTGAATGAGCAAGCAGTGTAAATGTAAACACATCTCCCTTCCCGCCGCCGAGGCCTGGAGCCCGTGTCCCCACTCGGAGCTCAGAAACAAATGCTTCCCAGCCATTGTCTGTTTGCATAATAGCCAACAACAGCCTCAACAACAATTCCCAGCATTAATTGTCACCACCCCTATCTCACCCTTGCACCTTTCAGGGAGAAGTTATGATCTTCCACTTCTGAATGCTCAATAATTGTGTCATTTATCTCAATTTGCAGTGCGGTCTTTAGGCAGCTATTGGCAAGCTGGCATTAGAAAAAGAAAGGAGACACTGCATCCTGGCCAAAGGAGATTTTCATTTCCAAATAATAATCAGTTTAATTTGCCCACATATGACCAATGATTCATGTTCAGATTTAATCATCAGGATCACATAATCTGATTATAGGGGAAATAATTTGTTTACAACCCCCAATTTACTGCTCAGAATTCCATTATCTCTCTTCAGCCATTGGTTTTTAAGAGATACTAACATGACCCAGGGGAACCGAAAGCAAACTATTATATTTCCTACAATTAGATCTTTGCATAGTCTTAACCCCAAGCCCCTACATAAAAAAAGAACAAAAACAGCATGGAGGAAACCCCATAAATAAAATGAATATATAATTGTGCTCAAAGACTAGCTGGCCTGGAGAGGCAGCGCTGTGAGCGTGCCCCCCTGTGCGCGGGCACATCTGCTGGGCTCGGCGGGTCTGTGCACTTAAACGTGACCGCCGTGTGGCTTCTAAAAAGAAAGCCTGCTTTGAGCCGGTCACTGCAGGCCACGCTCGTCTCTCAGCAGCCCTTCGCTGCCGCCCTCTAAAGATTTTTAAATTGCACACGTTCTTCGGATTCACTTCCCTAAAAGAGTCCGCGCGCCGGGGAAAAGTTGGCCATAATGCAATTTCTGGAAAGCAGATCCTAACCTTGTTCCCATCTGAAAACACAGTTCTCTGCAATTGACCGGCCTTCGCCCAGAGTGGTCAGAGCTGCTTTGAGAATAGCATCTCAGCTCTTTTTTTTTTTTTTTCCAAAGCAAGGAAATGGATGTGCATTGATGTAATTTAGTACCTTAGAGACGCGGACAAATTAGTGTAGAACATTATCACTAGTTAATTATGAATGACCGATTAATCAACCTAATCTAATATTCCACATTATGTTGATGTTATTAAAGTGCATCATGAAAATGACAGATAGTCTTCATTTGCTTTCTTTGGCCAAATGTGCACTCTGCAGTCATGATGTCAAAAAAAAAGTTTGCCAGTTTTAATATTAGGGAGTTAAATAATTGAACAGAAGGCTCACCTGCACTCTGGCTTCCGTGAGGTTTATTTTCATGGCCAGCTCTTCTCTGGTGAATACGTCGGGGTAGTGCGTCTGGGCGAAAACTGCCTCCAGAGCTTCCAGCTGGTAAAAGGAAGGACTATTTACTGATGAGAGGTTGTGGCTAGGTGAGAGGAAGCAGAGCATAGTTCACATTTGCTAACCGTGGTGAGGAAGCTGTTTCACAGATCAAATCGGCAAGGAAGAGGGGGAAAGAGCTGTTTGAAGAGATCCCACAGAATTAAAATTTCAACCACTGATAACTTAGGAGCTAAGTCTTGCTCACAACCTCAATGCTCCCCCAAGAAGTAGAAGTAAGAAGAGAAGTGCGAGTATTTATATGTGTTTGCATTTCAATATGTTCAGAAGAATCAAACGGGAGGGTGGCCTTGGGACTGAGAGCAATCCGCACAGCCCCCACTCAGGGTGTAGGAGCAGAACCACCTGCAGCTGCTCCCGGCCAGTCCCAGGGAAATGCCGGTGAGGGGGTGAGCACTTCCTGGCTCCAGTTTGCTCCAGAAGTTGAGCAGGTCTAAGAGCAGGGCCAGGGCCGGGCAACACAATATCAGGGTTGCAACTGTAGCCCTTCCATTTAGGGCAACAATACCTTCTACAGATCCACCAACTTCTTAGGTTCCAGCCTTCTCATCTACCGACCCAAGGACAAGAATGTCCTTCCTGCCTTCTCAAGGTTCAAATGACATTGCTGATGTTAAAATGCTCCCCAATCTATCAGCCCCGGGCAAATGGGTACAATCAGTACTGCCTCTTCACTTTATCTGGGATCATAATCAAAGTCCTCTGCCCTCTCCCGGAAACAGGTTCCTTGACACATAAGTTGTTTGAGAAAACAGAAGGATCCAGTTAACATGATCAGTTGGCCTTACTCTAAAGGACAAAGGAGAGCAGCTAAGACTCTGATTTTTCCGCAGGCAGGAGACAGCTACCTTGCGGAAGACACCGTCATTACCTGCTGAAGCGTGAAGGTTGTCCGGTTCCGGCGCTGTTTTCTGCGCAGGAACCCATCGTCAAAATCTCCGGGAGGGTGGTTGCCAAAGGGCGCAGTGCCTGCTGGGAGCAAAGGGGATCAGCCTGAGCAGGTGGCCCCAGTCTTCACACCATCCGCTGGCTACACAGGCTCATTCAAAGGCATCAACCCGTCCCCTCCAAACAGAGCTCTGACTACCCCAAAGTGTCTTTCTCTGCTCCTCTTATTAGACCCCTTCTTTTCCACTCTCTTATGCTCTGTCTCTCCCAACAACTTATGACTTTAGCTCCAACTATGCCTATTTCATAGGGCGGGAGGCGACCTTGCTTCCCAAGACAGCCAAGTTCTCCTGTCGAGAAATTCGGGTCTCAAGCAAGGGCCACTGGCTTAAGGGGGAGGCTTCATCCACCTCCCAGCTCCCAGCTCCCAGCTCCCAGCTCCCAGCTTCCAGCTGCACTCTGTCCAATGCACCTCACTCCCCGCCTCAGAGCCTTGCATAGAAGCTGCTGCTTCCCTTTGCTCACCTGTTAGTCTACTTGCCTGTATTTCTACAAACAACAAGGGTAAAAGGTTGGGAGTGGAGAAGGAAAGGGAAACACCAAGAGCTTTTCACAGCACTTTTCTCCTAGAACTTCAGGACACGACGAGGTAAGAAGTTTACAGATGAATATTAATTATCGTTGGTCACAGCTCATCAGCACTGTAGCGGATCTGTTATATAGATGTCAGTACCAAGAATCTGCCCCAGTAGTGGCTGTCCTGAATTCCAAGCAGACTTACACAGGGCCACGCTCAGAGGGCACCCACCCTCTCGCCGGGCTCAGAAAGGGCCCGCTGCTTCTGCTTCCCTGAAAAGAAGGGCATCTTTCCACTGTCCTCCCAGCAGCCTCCAAAGCGCCTATAAAGCCGGAACAGACTTTAGCCCCAAATGTGCATTCAGATCATTTTCCAAATGTGCACCATTTACTTGACAGTCCACAATGGCTCCTTAGGAAAACAAATGAGCAAGTTCCCATTAGCCAGTGAATGCTGTACCTGCCATGGGCTCTGGGCTCAGAATCACTGCGCGTCCGGCATTAGCAGCCGGTGAGCCACAATGCCCGGACAACATCCTTTAGAAGGACCTCCGTCCCAAAGAAGCAAGATCCTTTAGGCTTTAAAAAACTCCATCTACTAAAGGGAGTCCCTCCTACTTATTATTCCGCTCTCCAGGGCCACATTTTTTGCCATAATACCCCACTCTCTGCTGAATCCTTCTCCCCCCTTCTTCTTGTCCAAACTGCATTCTTCTTCAAAACCCTAGTCACAAATATTTCGCTCCAGTTCATTCACAAATATTTCGCTCCAGTTCATTAGAAGCTTAAAAGAGCAGCCTCGCGGCAGTCGAACTCCGGGTACTCTGCGGAATAGCACACTGCTTCCTGTGGAACAAGGGCCTCTGAGGGTCTCCATCACGATTGGCCTCGGTCTCCTGATTCACTCCCGCTGGTCCCCACTGGCTCACCTCTGGCGCACATAATTCCTTAATGAAACACTGCGCGTCCAACTGAATCTTACAAAAGGCTGACGCCTCATCAAATTAATAAGAACAAAGATTGACAACCCAATAGAAAAGAGGAAATATGAGAAGAGCTTTTTACTTAAAAATAAGTAGAATGGTCAATAATTTTATGAAAAATGTTAAATCTTGTTGACAATTTAACAAAACAGAGCCATTAACTATTATTTCCACCGTGTTTTTTGGCAAAAAACATCAGGGGTATCTTGATAGGAGTGTACTGAAACGTGCCCGCCATTCACCTATTTGTAGCAGCATCTACTGGTGTAGCCTTGTGAGAGGGTAATGACCATTTTTGTCAAAAATGTAAGTGCACGTACAGACATTTAATCTATGAATATATTTATATACAGGGTGGCAATATAAAGAGAGAAGAATGTCCCTGGCAACATGGTAATAAACATCACCTGGAAACAACCACTGTTCCCATCAGGAGACAAGTCTGCACGGCATCTGGTGGAATACTACACGGCTATTTACAATAAGCCAGGAGATCAGGATACAGCAACATGGAAAAAATCTTCCAAACATATATTATGCAATGAAAAAAGCAAAGTCCTGAATGACTTGGTAGTATGATTTCAGTACAAACAATGTGTAACACAGAGAGAGAAAAATATATAAATGATGGTAAAAGCCTGTTTTTCCTGGAGGAATGACAAGAAACCAGCAATAAGAAGTGCTTTTCGGGGGGGAAAAAAAAAGGAGTGAAAGAGAATTTCACTTTTCACTTAGGTTTCTATTTTAATTTCCTAAGCAGCTATATGGAGTACTTTTTAATTTAACACCACAAAAAGTGATCTGAGAAGTGTGGTTCTGAACCATGCTGTGCTTTCTACTTTATGCCTCTCCAGATTAACAAAAAAATTAAAATTAAAAAGCTGACAGGCTATAATGAGATGTCATATCCAAATTCTATTCTCAGCCTTTCCCGCTGCAGCAGATCACCTTCTCCAGCAACGCTAGTCCTTCCTGCAAAACTGGCTTAGGAACGTCTGCAGAGATAAAACAAAAGGCCCTGAAGGACCTCCTTTGCTTCTGAATAGAATCAGCATCAAGACAGCCTGTGCCTGGGTGTGGGTGAGAGGGGAGCTCACTGGGCATAGCGGACAGCAGTGAGCAGCTCAGTGCGGCCGGAGCTGGACCTCATGACCAGCTGGGCGAGAACTCTCCGCCAGTGGCTTCTGCAGCCCGTCCTGCCCCTGCCGGCAGGGCTTCCCCTGTATGTCCCCCACACGGCCCACCACCTGCCCAAACCTCAGCCTTCCTCACTTTGACCAGAAGGGTGGGCCACTGGGCATCAATCAGTCCAGACCCAAGGTTCAGAAGTACAGGGACGATGTGTCCACCACATATTCAGAGGGTCTCCCTCCAGCCCTGGGGTCTGATGTAAGGGGGTGTACCTCTCCAACCTTCTCATAAAGCCGATCACTGTGGGTCCTCGGAGGTAAGAGGAGGTGAAATGCAGGTAAGTGTCGGCCTTTCCCTCTTAGAAATGCTGACCAAGCCGGCAGGGCTTAACCACTGGTCCTCGTTAGCCGCCTCGAGAAAATCCTACTGAACTCTCCAAAGCTTCCTTGGGAAACATCAACTTCTGAAGTCCTTGTGCGGTTGGCCAGCCGAGCTCAGCCACTGCTCCAGGTAACCAGGGCAAGGTGGACCAGCCTCCTTTGATGTCTCAGTGTCTCACACCTCGGTCCTGCCCCAGCCTCCCTGATTTCTTGGCCTCCAAAAGTCTTCACCCCACAAATAAATCAAAGGAGTAGGTTGCCAAAGCCAAGTACTGGTGTTACTCCCACATTTAGAAAAGTCCTAATGCCCCAGGGCTGAGACCACTGCTCTGCCTGGGCCATATTAAAGGGCCGGAGTGTGTGGCTCTGCCTTTGCCTGGCACATGCTAATCCCCCTTGTGTGGAGGACCCACTCCTGGAGACCCCCCTCCCCACCCGGGGGCACCGGAGAGCCTAGCTGTCCCTTCACAGGTACCCCCACCTAACAATTCAGTGCAGAGACCACCACAGGGATCCTAAGGTGGAATTTTTTCTAAATCCTGGAGACCCTCAAAGACCCAAATCCAGGCCATGGGGCTGCCCCTGGCAGTGAGCAGTGGTTGATTTAAGGTCAGAAATCCAGTGAGTCACCGCGATGAGCCCAGGCCAGGGCCCTCGGGCCCCTGGTGGTCAGGGTCAGCCGGCTTTGAAAGGCCAAGGTGGCCGGGAACAAACCCTGGCCACCGCCCGCAGCATTATTGCCCGGTGCAGTGCCGGTGCCAGCAGCCTGCAAAGGTTGTTCTGACTCGTGGTCTGACCCAGGACAATTCGAACCAACTCCCCAGTCCACCTTGGGTTTTCGGGATGTTTGCAAAATACCGTGAAAGATTGATGCGGCCCCTGGGCTGGGGGCGGGGAGGGGAGCGATTAGAGGCGTGACACGGGCATCTGTGCTGGGAGGACCCTGCTGGTTCCTGCGGCAGAGCCCGAGGCCGCCCAGCTCCGGCGGGGAGAGGTGGGAGGCAGGTGGCGATGGGGCGGGAGGCTGGAGCGGGGTACCGGGAGGGAGCCAGGGGGGGCGCCCCTACCCACCGTCCAGCCGCACCCCTGGCGGGGCGGGGACCCAACCACCCTCCGGCCCCACCATCGCCGGGGTCCTGTCTGGGGCCGCAGGCTTTTCGGAGCGACCCGGCCGCTTACTCACCCTCAAGCTGCGGCGGGCAGTGGAAATAAAACATCGCCGACGGCGGAGCTTTGTGGACGCCGGGATCGGAGGGTGGCGGCGGGGCCCGCGGGCGCCTAGCTTTCGGCCGGGCTGCAAAGCAAACAGCAGTAGTCAGTACTCCCTCGGCTGGCCCGAGCCCGTCCTGAGCACCGGAGCTCCACTCCGGGAAAACGCCTTCCCACGCCCTCAGCCCTCTCTGGGCGTGGAGGGGAGGGGACAGCGCCGTTTCCAGTCGGGGTCCCCTCGGGATAGCCCTTCAGTTCGGGGTCACCTCCCTTACAGCCGTGCCCCCCCCCCCC